GGGGGGGGGTAATTGGGTCCTCTTTTATGTGTACTTGTTTTATTTGTGCTGTTAAGGCTAGAGAGGTGAGCAGAGTAAGCCTGATTCCCCATTTGGACTTCTCTGTTGACAGCCACCCCTTTGCGCTCATATAACCGTATGCAGTTGCAAGCGTCGTAAAACCTTCCTAAACTAAACTGTTATATGCCCCGTCGACACAATTTAGACCGTTTAAGAGGCCGATGTTTAACCTGTCTGTCAGGAATATCGGACTGAGAGGGGCACAGAGTCACATGAAGATTGAGATGCTTGATATGATAGAAATGGTCCCCATACGGAGATCTACTGCGCACGACGGCGAAGAGTCTTATCACTACCCCACAGTCCACAGGCGCTGGTATCCCTCACATATAACAGGGAGTTACTGGTCAATAGAGGATCCGCTGAGGTCTGCTCCCTTTAATGTTTATTGTGTGGCTGGTGTGCGTGCGACCACTGGCAGGTCCTACTATTTATCTACCTATCTACCTTATATGTTTGACTGTCTGTCTGTGTGTCTGTCTTACTTCTTATCTATCTATCTATCTATCTATCTATCTATCTATCTATCTATCTATCTATCTATCTATATGTTTGCCTGTTTGTCTGTCAGTCAAAATGTCTGTCTGTCTGTCTGTGTCCCGCTTTCCCCACGGCAAGAAAAGATGACCACTCTGTCGGTTTTCTTCTTTTAATTCAAACAACGTCGGGCTTCCACGCTTCCTTAGGTCTAAAGTTGTCCAGGAGTTGTTCGTTGTGTATTGTCGAGGGCCAATTCCCTCCATAAACTTGACGCAAGTGAACAACCTTAGTGTGATATCACTGAAATCTACGTACAGAAAAATGAAAAATTAAATAATAATAACATCATCATCAAGAAGCTAGCCCATAATGAAGAATGGTAGAAAGCGTTTATTCGTGCCCCATACCTTGACCCAGCGTGAGAGAGACGATGATGATGATGATGATTTTATTTTGGTTTCCTTAATGGGCCTGACGGACTCCACGAAGAAATCTTCGAGCGAGAGCGAGGCTCTTTTTCGGCTCCATTGTCAATATGCTTAGCGGCTCCTCCATTCGAATTGCCATTGTTCCTGGTCATTCAAACATATGTTTGACATCTTCCTTTTCATGGCCGCATCTTCTGCAACATGGGCAGAGCTCTTCATTTACAAAGTTCTTGTACCATCTTAAACTCCAATGGTGGTCCGACCGCAGTCTCGCTAGCTCAACCTGGTCCCAGCGACATGTGATAGACTTTTGTTCCCGCTTATAGGAGTACCCAGAATACACATCTTCCAGGTGCTGGTACTTAGTTCTACGTGGTGGGTGTCTGATTTCCCTCTTGATCATTGGAAAGACTCCTCTGTATTGATGATGATGATGAGGATGATGATGATGATGATGATGATG